AAAAAAATGTAAAATAACATGCACATGGTGACCGCTACCTCTGCTAGAACAATTCTGATCCAGGCAGGGAGCAGTTTGTTGCCCAAGTCTTCAGCTTTTCCATGTCCACACGCAGACAAACCATGAATTATGTTTCCTAACGCCAAGGCAAAACCTGAAGTCTGGTATAAATAAATAAAAACAAGGGGTGAGGAAAAAGAAGAACAATGGCACAGATGAGGAATGTTTATAGGTAGCAACACAAGCACTTCTAGGGGCTCCCTTTCCTACTGACAAGTTCTTTTGCCATCTGAAAATCGGAGATTTCCTAATTTTTAAAGTCTAGACTTTGGTTTGCAACAGAAACTACAATCCAATTGCAAGGGATTCAGCTGCTGTGAGTGGTTTATTTGAGAAAAATAAAACTGCACTATTGAGCAGCTTGGCTCAAATGATCCAAATTCTCAGGAGGAGTTAGGGTGAAAATACCAAAGTAGATCACACAAGCTCAGTCAACTTCCAAGCAAGAAGAGAAAATGTCCCATAATGAGCACTGCATATGTGAACGTCCACATTTTGGTGTTGCAGAACCTACTACAAGTGAGCAGGCATATAACTATAAAATAGTAACAATTACCATACAAGGTAAGCTTAAAACCAGTGAATCCTGAAATAATCCACTATGGCCAGTATTAAGACTTTGGAGAAACCCTAAAAAAACAAAACAAGCAAGCAAAAAAAAACCCTATCACCACCAATGAGGAAATTCTAGAGCATATGTAATCAGATGGAATGGTTTCTTTCAATTTTTAAAATTGTGGTAAAATACATATAGCATAAAGTTTACCATCGTAACCATTTTTAAATGTGCAGTTCAGTAGTATTAAGTACATTGTACTGTTGTACAACTATCCCCACCATCCATTTCCAGAACTCTTTTCATCTTGCAAAACTGACACTCTATTCCCATTAAACACCAACTCCCCACTCCCCCTCCCCCACCAACCCGGCAACCACCATTCTGCTTTCTGTCTGTACGCTTTTGACTACTCTAGGCTCCTCATATAAACAGAATCATACAGTATTCGTCTTTTGTGATTAGCCTATTTCACTTAGCATAATGTCCTCAAAGCTCATCCCTGCTGTAACTTATGACAGGATCTCTTTCCTTTTTAACACTGAATAATATTTCAGAGGGAACACTTAACGGTATTTAATTTACAAGTATTTCAATTTTCCTGTACAGATTCAGTCATGAGCAGCGATTCTCTGTCTTGAATTTGCTGAGGTTTGACCTTATCAGAGCCTTCTATGTATTCATATATACACAATTTTTTGTCTGTAGCCTTACATACTCTTAATTCCTAGCCACATGTTTTGAGATTTTATAAATACAGAGCAATAGTTGGAGAGAGAGACTAGCCTTTGCAGTCTCTCAGGTCAAAAAAAACCAGCCTACAGAAGGAGACAGAGGACAAGGAAAGAATAAGATAACTGTGACTGTTGGCTACAGCTGTAAGAGAAGAGAACAGTTAGAAGTTCCTCGGTCTGGACATGAAAATTATCCCATCATACTCTAATTCAGAGTAAGTCAAAATCAGGACTTAGCAGCAGCATGAGACCCACAGAGAGAAATATTCAGGGCACACATTCCAACCTGCTGGTTGTTCTCCACCAACAGTCGCAGCTTGTTCATAATATCTTCAGCCTCTGTAGCTTCTATAATTCCAGCACTGAATGCTGATGTACATACACAGCTAAGGGTATAGGCAAGGACCTGAGAAGAAAAGACAGTAGGGAAATGTTTCTTCATGAGGGAAAATGAAAGGACACAGTTTAGTTGACACAAATATTCAGTCAAACTCCTCCCAGGGCAAGGATTGGATTCAAATACTCCCACCACAGACCAGGCACTGTTTTGCTGCCTAACTTCTATGTCCTAACAATGCTGTGACATGGGTGTCATTATTGCTACTTTATAGATAAGGATTTTGAGGCTCAATTACATATAGCTAGCAAGTGACAGAGGTGAGATTCAAATCCAGGTCTTTAGACTCTAAACTAAAAAGTTCCCTCATCAACTCAGAACACAGCATCTATCAACAGAAGCAGATTTTCATCACAGTGGAGGTTACTAATTGCCATGTGCTCCAATCCAAGGCCAAACAGCAGAGGAAACTCAAAGAAGTGAAAGAAACACTGTTTATGTTAAGATTCTCTAGTAGCAGTAAGGGAGCATAAAGGACTATGACTATGGGCTTTAGAGTCAGATAAATCAAATAGAGATAATACTACTTACTTCATAGTGCAGGTAGGATAATTTAATAAGTAAATTAATAAACAAACACATTACAAATAAAAAAGAATGCCGGGAGTAGAAACAGAATACTTATGTGTACATCCCAAATTGACCATTTATTGGCTCAGTAACTGAGCAAGTCAAACATTCTATTTGAGCCTTAATTTTTGCAAACCATAGTTCATCACCCCTTTCCCTGCTATGGTGCATTTTCATGATGAGACCCTCCTTTACAAAGATGCTCTTAAGTCAAAGTGGAAATGTTCAACTTCTAACACAGCATGAAAGAAGGAAGCGGTTTCTAAGGTAGAAATTGGACAATAAAACATCAGAGGGAGGAAAAAACAAAATGCTCGCTCAAGGCCTTTAAATCAAAACATCAAGGCAGACAGATGCATCAGTTACAAAAACCTTGCTTTCATTTTATTAGTCGACTTGCTCCTCGGTTGCAACATTTTCTTTTTGCTTAAAAAAAAAAATGTACTTTTAAATTGTGCTCTGCACCACTTTAAAAATGGAAATGCGGTGCATGTCTTAGAACAAAATTTCAACCCTCTGTGCCCCAAAGAAATTCACCGATTCAACAAGCCCCTTTGCTGAAAGCAGAGGAGCCGAGCAGGGAAACACAGCAGCCATTATGTACTCATCAATAGCTCGTGGGCAGGCTGGGACAAAGTAGAGTCTGCTCTAATGAGAGCGAGAATCTGGCCAGGCCAAGAGGTCGTCTCCAGCTC